CACACACACACACACACACACACACACACACACACACACACACACACACACACACACACACACACATACACACATACACACACACACACACACACGATCTCCCCCCCGAAAAAAAAAAAAAAACCCTCACACACAACTTCGCCTCGGCACAGCTACGTGATACTACTATGTGGGCAGGCGGTATTATGGGGCCCCGGTGATTCTATCAGGGTGGGGTGGTACCTTGTGAGGCTTGTGAACTGGGGCTGCTGACATGTTGACCAGCACATACTATGTCGACTAACCAAAGCAAAGAAATGCACACACAGATCTGATTCAACTGCAATTTGAAACCATGACCTGTTTACCAACAGTTACTTAGGTTTCTGGTGCCCGTCCAAACGGCAGGCACTGCCAGGTGCTTGAACACCTTTCTTTCTTTTTCTTCTTTTTCTTCTTTTTCTTCAGACATCTGGTTCCATTACACTTTGATCTCGTCAACTGTTTCTTTTTACTCATGCATGTACAGTGATGTACTCATATTTGGGCGAGTCTATAGGACTCTAGCCGTTCCATTCGAATACAAACTCGGTTGCATGCACGAACAACAAACAACGTGGAGCTTTCTTTTCTTTTTTCTTTTTTCTTTTTTTTTCCCCATTCCAAAACAAACTCGGTTGCATTCGTGGCTAATAGCTCAGTGGTTAGAAAAAAAAAGGACACCGGTTTCGAATGCGCATTGTGGTCTTAGGTTGCAGGCTCGAATTCTCGGGCCCACAACCTTGCGCACTTCGGTTGGCGGGCGTCGACCGACGCATGCCACAGATGCACCGAGCGCGCAAGTACGAGTGTTCATCAGGACCGTCACAAGCCTTAGCTCATGGGGTAGAGCACCAGCAGGGAATGCGCACTGTGGCCCCTGGTCGCAGGTTTTCGGATCTTCGGACCTGCGACCACGCACCCAACCGGCAGAACATCCTCCAGGTGCAAGAAAAAGCTGCAGCGGAACACCGAAACACACACCTGGTCTGATACTCAAAGCCCGACCTCGACGCCTCGTGCAGGGGATTACATTGAACTGGCTGCGCTGTGGGATTCCAGCCATAATGGCTGCCACACCAGATGCTGCGCTCCTGTGTGTGCTCTGAGATGTTCCTCGGGAGCATCGTACAAGACCACGTGTGCCTCCCCTTGGGTTATACCGGGTCATCGGGGGATGGGGGCAGTACGAGGGGTGAACTCAGTGATTCCTGGACCATTGGGAAATTATATCTGTACCATTGCAACCATTTTTGTAACTATAAGCACCAACCAAAAAATTTGGGGGGGAAGGGAGGTGGGGAGGCCAGGGTTCACCATACTCACAGCAGAGACTGAGCAGACTGACAACAATTCCCCTCGGTGGCGCGTGACAGTCGTGCCTTGGCCTCCCGGTGCGTCACCTCGGGAACCCCGGAATCTGAGTTCGAGTATGGCGCACCCCGCTGCCGGTGACCAAGTAGCACCTGTCTCGGCCGCGATACCCCCCGGGTGGGTGAGTGTGAGGTTGAGAGTCCCCTGTGTGAGTGGGTTTGTTCACTGTGCCGTTAGAAGGCCGAACCCGGTGTGTCCAGCCTCCTCTTTTTTTTTTTTTTTAATAATTAAAATCCCAGGTTGTTGTGGAGGTTGGATACAAGACGTATGACAGTCACCCTCGGCAGTCGGCCATGTGGTCATCTAGATGCTCTACAAAGGTCGTCATTCCTAACGGTACACCCTCCCAACCTACCACTATTTAATCATTCATCCCGGTCCCTCCCCCCCCCCCCCCCCCCCCCCAACCCAAGGATCCTACCTTAGCGTCTCACCACTCAGGATTATCACCCCGCAATTGTCTCAACGCAGACGACCTGACTGGACTGCGCATGCAGGTACCAAGGCTACCCCGTCTGAAACCATCCCCGACACCCCCACAACCCTTTTTTCAAAAGAAAAGACAAAAAAAACTTGGTTGCATGCATGGACAACAAACATCGTGGAACTTTCTTTTTTTTGAAACATTGTGGAACTACAGCACCATGCACGACATGGAACATGAAAAAGAACAAACAAACAAACAAACAAACAAACAAAAGCTTGGAAGTAACAGAAACCACACACGCAAGCAGGCTGCAAAACTAAAAACCAAAAAAGCGCAAAACTACACAAGTGTGCAATGCACGGAATTCACAAAAACACAAAAAAGACGCACGAACCAACAAACAAACAAAAAAAAGCTTGAAAGTTGAAACCACACGCGCGAGCAGGGCG